TATACGTAAACACTTATAATTATCCTCAGGAGAATGGAAAACATAATACCGTTGTATATTTTTTTATTTCTGTTCTCTATATGTATAAAGTCAAGATTTCATATAAAAACTATCGAGATATTTTAACATATAACAATATAATTTAGTTCAAGTAATTTACTATCAATCAGGTGTTGATAAAAACATTTTTTTGTAATATAGAATTTTAGTTTTATCACAAAAAACACTATACAACATGTGAGATTCTACAGTTATACATTCAAATTCCAAAGATTTAATGTGAGAAGTACACTAATATATACAAAGAAGTGTACAGTTATTACCCACTATACATCCTCTCTGTATCGCAAGGTTAGCTGTAAGAAAACTCTTTTAGAGTTAAGCTCACCTGTACATCATTGTATTTCTATGTAATGTTACACTATGTACTTTAAACTGTGTACAAAGCTTAAAATAAAATAAATAAATAAGTGTAAAAGAATTTTAATATAAAATACAAGGCAAATGGGTAATTAAGTTATATTATTTACATGACATGTATTATAAATTAAAAACCAAGACGAATACAAAAGTGTAATTACGCGTCGTGCGTGACGTTAATTATGTGAAACTAAAAACATTGCTCAAAGTATTTGATTGTTTAATCGATCATCTTTATCACAAATTACTATCGATAATTATATTTTATTGGGGAGCCAACGTCTTGTGTGAAGGCAAACCGTCACGCTTGCTGTGAACTCGAACTAAAAAACATCCGGACATTTAATGCACTTTCATTTAAACCAAGTGAACGTTTTATATTAACTTGGTAAATAATAAAACAAGTTGTCGCGTAAGTTAACCCTGATTAAGTAATTTGTTTACTTCATGTAAACATATGGCAAACTTAAAAATGAAGGTTGTTAAAACAGATAGATTTTTTTTAGTAGACTACTTAGTATTGTGATAACGGGGGACAACAATTAAGAAAATGTTTTCTATTCCTTATCAAATATTACTGAAAATATTACCTGCACACTCTTTATATTAATAAAATGTATTTACATAGAAAATCAGTATACAAATTAAAAATTTCGATGACATTTTCATATAGGCAGTTATGGATACTACAAAAAATTGATTTGAACATTTATGACAATTATATTTTAAAATCTTACGAAAATACAATATGATATTGTTGGCTAAATCAAGGCTAATATACAGTGTAACGTACGGTACATAATTCACATGTGAGAATATGGTATGCCTTTTATTATTATAGTGGTATGGAATGACATAACGGCGAGGTAGCCGTTCGGCGCAAGCGCAGGCGCGGAAGGCGCCCACAGCGCGTGACAGGTGTACCCAATGGCATATCATTCTGTACCATATGTTGCCGACCCTAGTGGGTACACCTATTTTTTACATTTTTTCGTTATGTCGAATTTCGAAGCTTCTACTAGGATATAGTTCATGATAGTTGAATATCAAGAATTGAACTCACGACTACATAATTTGTTGATCGTATCCATTACTGTATGGAACTTCAAGTTCGTCTGACTTTCATCTAAATAAAAGATAAACAGTTACGCATATGTATAATTTATGAAAGTATGTCTGAAGTTCAAGTTCTTATTATTAAAATTAACATAATCACCGTGAGTAAAGTTTTATGAGTTGGTTAATTTTTAAACAGTAATTTTGTACAACAAAGAATATTAATGGGAGAGTTAATTCATGTTTTCTGACGTTAACGTTATAAAGGACAGTCTACAACTCAGCTGCGGTATCAAATGGTCGACTAAATTCTAAGAATAATTTAGCACAAATCTTTCTCTATATTAGTTCCGGAGGTTTCTGCAATAATAATTAAACTCAATTCCTGTTAACGATTGAATTACTATCAACAAAGATTGATCCGACTAATGATTACACAAATAGAGTTGAAACCATCTTTCTATCATAGCCAGTACTTCAAAACACTCAATAAATGGCAGAGTTGTTAAGTATTTTTCCATTAAAAGTATAAACGCGTGGCTAATATGATTGAAAACTGGCCAACTACAAATATATTTTAATAAGAAATAATAAAATAAATTCGCTAAAATGGCATAAGTTGGATTGAATTGAACGAGTCTCAGCGTGCGGTGAGATAATGTCTGTGTCGAAATGCCGAAGGAGAACCTTTTTGATCAGTTGTTGATTACAATTTCAATTAACCGCTTTGTGGGAATAGATTGCATTGAGAACAAAGAGGCCTTCAAGTGTACATTTCTTGGTTTGTCCATTGTAGAACAGTTTCTTACTAACTCTACCTTTTTACATATAAATCAAAGTAATTTAATACATTACTTATATTTATATAGAGCCAGTAATAAATCTTATAAATAAGTAGTACCTAAGTTGAGCAAAGTTTACGTTATGTATTCGCAAATTTAATTCAAATACAAAATTAATGATAAACCTCAAACCGGTTATAAGACTAATTAAAAATATGTAAATTAACATAATAAAACATGTTGCTCAGAATACAGTTGGTTATGACTCAAATAAGTAAGGTAATTAATTTAAATTTAATGTTGATTATAGAGATGTATGAACGTATACTAACCTAGATTTAAGATTGCAAAGTCTACGTGACGAAAATTTTTGTTTTTTTTTTTTCCTGAATTGAAAATAATAATTTATACCATCCCTAACTTAGGGTAGGCACCGAGCCTCTCGATGGGAACGTATGCTGATGATTTATTACAGTCACAAATAAGCCATCATTGTGAATTTTTCATATGAGAGAGTTAACCTAATATTTTGATTTGATATTTACTTAATTAATGCCAAAAGTATTAAGTGTGTGTAAGAACAAATGTTTAATAATTATGTTTAATACTAATTTTATAAAATAACTCTATTTATTCTTTATTTTTATAAAACTGACATACAAACAGACTAGTAACCAAAAGTAATAAAATGTTTTCATTAGCCTTATGTTGTTACCGGTGTGAACTAATATGGAATGTCTCATCATCAGTAATTGGGTCTTCCGTTAACTTCACCAACCATGAAACTTAGCCGTTTACTGTTATAGTACAGAGTGTACTGTGAAGCTATCATTGTTTTACAAGAAACGATCGTTTACAATTTTTTTTGTAGAAAATATTAGCAGTTTTTGTTAATTTACTAATATCAGTATATTTCTTGAATTTCTAAAATTAATATAATATTAGTATATTTCTTGTACAATTCCAACTAAGCTCTAGGCTTGTGCTAGGATATGGTTTACAATAGTCGAATGGTGGGAGTCGAACTTTCGACTATCTGATCAGAAATCCGTACCCTTAAACATTAGGCTATTGGTGCTTCAATAAATGTAGTTTTTTTTAATTCTTCTTCACTTCTCGACTTCTAAGTTTCATGAAATTTTAAATTTTATAGTGATAAGAGCAAACTTGCGGATTGCAAAATAAGTCAGTAACTTTAAGAAACAAATGCAAACCCCAAGTGGATTTCTTAAAAAGTCTTTTAGTAACGCAAGAGATAGATCAGTGAAGGAAAACCACATAATTGTGGCTTACCAAATAAAGTGATATCGATGGAATTTGAAATCATATCTAGTTAAAGTTAATTACAAGAACAAATGTAATTAAATAATTAAGTTAATAATTATATCTACAAATCTATTTTAATATTATCTGTCGCCCGCGACTTCGTCTTTCAGACTATGTTCTACATCTATGCCAAATTTCATCAAGATCCGTTGAGGCATTCTGGAGATACCTTGAAACAAACATCCATCTATCCAAACATTCGCATTAATAATATTAGTAGGATGTAAAATTTGTTCATAACACATTCGTAGTTGTTCTTTATCTAACTAATAAATATTGGCAAAGCTTCGCCTACACCCGGATATCAAAGTCGGTGGACTAAGAAAATATGTTGAAATATACATTTCTTAAGCGAAGATGCTATGAGAATACGTTACTCGGAGATGTATTGTTGTTTCTCTTATATTCTTTACACAAAGACTACTTTTTAAAGATGCACCGCACGAAATATGCTAATACATACATAAAGAAGTCGCCTGTCGTCTTGCCACAGGATCAAAGAAATACTTGCTTTTTATGTTAACGTTAACAAATGTTGTTATTTACTAAAGCGAAGCTAAATTTAGAATAATTAGCAAAAGTAATTTTTCTTTCAAGCGAATAAGGTGAAAGTTTACTTCGCACAATACGTCTTATTCAGCTATTGTTAAATTGTTTTCTTTTAGAAATTAACTTGGTAATAAAATCTAAGTCTATTAGAGAATTAGAAAATTATATCTACAACTATTTTATTCTAGAATACTTGGATATAAATTATATAGCGCTTAATTAAGTGAAATGTAATATTTAACATCTATGCCTTTATTTCTAAATTCTTTTAATAGAAATAAAAGTATTATTTATTTGAATATCCAAGAAAAACATCAAAACTATAAATTTAAATTAAATATTAATTACAAAATTAATTGAATACCCAACAATTTAAATCAAATATGGACGTCGGATGCTGCCATAGAATACTTCGTAATAGTTAGTCTTTATATGGTCACAAGTATCTGGTCCGGCTTACATAAGCAAAGTATTAAGCGCCATCTAGTTGCTAAAGTGAGTGTGCGTAAATAGTTTTCCAATAAAAAGTGTAAACAGGAAAGTTTTCTTTCATATTTTATTAATTTATACTAAAGAATTATTGCATTCAATGTAATAGTCAGATTGTTAATTTCGACATTAATAATAAATCCAATAAGAATATTATAAGTTTAATATGACGTAAAAACAGTTAGATTGTGACTTAAGCTAAATAAGTATAGTTAAGGATATTTAGAAATGTTTAGGTTTGTTGTAAGAAATGAATGTATGTTAAATGAGATCAGAATAGAGCGTAGAGTGCAGTTGAGGGGTCGTGCCGTGAGAAGTTACGACACGCGGCGCGGGCGCTGTCGCGGACGTAGTCGCGGGCAGCTCACAGATACCAACCTTGAGATCATCGGTGAGTGCGGGAGCGGTGGTGTACGGGGCTCATTCCTCCCGGTAGAAGCGGTCCGCCTTCCCTCGCCGTCAGGCGAACAGCCGTTAGACTACACCGAGGAATTCGCAACAGGCCGTCGACAGTAGAATTTTCTAGTGATACACAATATGATTGTATGACTAAAATCACACTATCCACAGCACTTCACCTACTCCAAAACTAGGAGCAAACCGTTCATTTAACGGGCACTCGACAGGTAGGGTAGCGACGAAGCCGGTCGTATATACACGCACGACCAGAAAGGTGGCCGGACTGTGACTGCGCGCAGTGCGCTCGCAGGCTGCGGTGCACGCGCCTCCCCCGCCGCCCCTGCTGCCCCCCGCAGCCAGCGCCGGGCACCGCGCGCCGCTGCGGCCAGTGCCCGCAAAGCCTCGCCCTCTGACGCACCTCCCCGATCATAGAGCTTTTGCATGTCCGATATCAACTATAGACATTAGCGCATGCAGGATAATTAATTTAACCGTTTTCATCCAATTATGTATCGATCTGTATGAAATCCTAAACTGACTGTTTTATTTCAGAAATAGACAACTGATATATTATGATACTTAAATCAATAAAGAACAACGTTCAATTTTGAATATTTTTAGCAGGAAAAGAAATAACTCATTAATAGAAAGTGTTATTAAAATAGTAATTAAAACAACATTACAAGTTTATTATCGACCACAAAGTTAATATAGATTTGTTACTTCATTACCTAACAACATTACAAAAACAAGAACACTACAATATTTTCGTAAATAATAAATTTTTATTTTAAATAAAACCGTAAAATGTTGATGGAAATTCCTTGAAGTGAAGCCCGCACCCTGCTCTATATTTAAGACATCAACGCGCACAGTCACGTTATCACTCCAATGGTATATTAAGTTTTCCATTATCCCGAATCTAATTACCTTACCATACATATCTCCCATATATTCCTTAAATAGGATTTTTGAAAAAGTGTTAAATAAATTTTCTTATCTAATAAACCATGTTTTTGGGTTTTCTAATAAAATGTAATAAATGTTTGGTACAAAAAATACTAATAAACAATTCTTACAGTAGCTAGCGAAATAACTGAAGTTTTATAAAAAATCATGATTACTAAGCATCTATCTATGAAGTCTGTCTGTATTAAGTTTGTCAAACTGTTATAGTGAAGACAAAGACCATCGGCTTGTTGTTTCATTTTTATTTTTCTTACCAGTGTACTTGGCAGTGTACCTTTAGCAATAGTACAAGATGCAAGGTAACCAGCAGTGCTGTGTGCGGTGTAGCGGTGACCGGATAACGGTCACGGTGTTACACCGGGAGGGCGAGTGCTAACCACGAAACGTCGCACACGGAAACACCGTGTTGTTAGTTCATACACGAGTCATTATCGTGACCTACGCAGTGTCACGGTCGGCCCGACACCACAATCGCAACCATCACGCAACGCTACCATTACTTACCTTACACGTAACACTTTATAACTCATCATTTATTTGATACAAGGAAAACATATTTATTACTGTCCTTGTAAAACTAAGCAATATTGCCTAAATGACAAATCTTACTAATATTATAAATGCGCATGTTTAGATGGATGGATGTTTGTTTGAAGACATCTAAGGATCTCGATGAAATTTGGCACACATAATAGAACATTGTCTACTAATTATGCTATTTTTAATTCCGCGCGGGCGGAGTCGCCGGAAACAGGTAGTGTTAACAATAAAACCAGTATTTAAAGCAATTAAAATTTCATTGATTCTGTTATATCATTACGTGTTGGAAACTGCGCGTTACATTTGTAGGACAAAGTAATGCGAAAACAACTTTTACTTATCGTTCCTCTTAAGACATTGTCAGTTGTCTTGAAGTTTTGGCACAGAGGTTGTGGGTGTGATTTCGCCAGACGAACGCTTTGCAACTTTCTCCGCGTGTCGTAAGACGCAACACGTCGTGAATGCGAGAGATGTGTGCAGCGCAGCCCCATTGACACATCGTGACATTTTAAATTGAAATAACATCCAAATATCAAGGCGATCTACTTTACATATACTCGCTGTCTGCGGTAAATATTAACCGGAATATATTATATACAACACTTTGTACATAGACTATGAAACAAGAAATAAACTGTGAATCATTTTAACTTGAGGAGGTGTAGAAATAGGAAACTTGTTTATTGACTTTGACTTTAACAGAATTTAAACTAAGCAAGGTACTTAATTGTAAATGCTAGTCAGAGAGTTATGAGACAATCTACGCCTACATTTTATTTAAAATTATTTCTTCTACACTAATGATACTTACAAAAAGTAAAATTTATCAAAATATACATAAGTCGACTGTCAAAGAAAAAGTTAAGGTAATTTATACACGTTTAAATATTGTTTTTAAACATAAATAAATATAATATAAGTAATAGGTAATAAGCCTACTTAAATTCATGTCAAATAATTTCAATTACAGTACCCAATACTTAGTTTTGAGACACAGTTAATTGTCCATAACTTGCACAAGTTATTATAAAATTGCGTAACAGTGTGGTGTGGGCAGAGTCCTCGCTGACGAAGTCCGCGTGGGTTAAACTCAAAACTATTTCACTGCCAACACCATTTGACATCTAGAATCGATGCTCGTGTGGGTTGCGAAACGAAAGTTATAATTACAACACGACTAGAAAAAAACAGAATACCGTCATACAGTATCTACGTACAATACAGTTACGAGTTTCACTAACAACTCCGCTATGGTTGTAAAAAAATCATTGTAATTTCAAATAGGCCAAATGTGTTCGTTGCCGTGGCTTATCTATGTCATTGATATTAGTAACGGTAAGGGCACGATTATTAAGTTAAATGATGATACTTCGTTATTTTTATAATACGTGTCTTCAATGGACATCGTAGGTACTTCAACAGGTTTAAAATCACAAAATTTATTTGTACCAAACCAGCTTCAAAAGATCGTTAATTTATGCTTCTCCTTATTAAAATGTAACTTTTCAACGTAGACATTTTGTACCACGATTGCATCAATCTGTACGATCGGTGCAAGACAACATGGAACCTAGGGATGCTATTGACACGGATTGTATAGTTAGGCATGATTGCAAATAAAATAAATCACATCTTATAACATTTCATCTTAGACCCACACTGACAAAAATTACATCATTACCATATAGGCTTTTTCCATAAATTAATCGTCTAAACCTGAGTTATAATATTATAATTGAACATGATAGGTAAAAATCATAAAGAAACAGGCGTTTTACTGATTTTTTAAATATGAATTTCTTGTAATAATCACAGGTATAGTCACCTACTTACATAAGGCACGTCATACGGTGCGAGGTGTATGTGTGTTGGACAATACTTAACGCATACCAATGACATCATGACGACTCGCTTACTGTTACATAGAGACCAATGCCGTGATCTGAATTATAAAAATAAATGCGTTACGTCCTATCGCTGAACCTCTGAACTGCACAAACCGTATACAATACATTTGATAATACTATTGAAATAAATAACCTATAAAATATACGTATAATTGTTGTACAGTCGCCATACTTAGTTACAATACTTAACACAATCTTGTCACAACTTTTTTGGACGATCGATATGTGATGAGCCATTTAAGATTGAGCCTGCCTATGTTTGATAAAGTCTTGCATAATTTTTTAAATTATTAAATAAGTTCAATTCCAGCTCATCGAATGATCGTTTCAAATAGAACAAAATTATAATGTGTCCGGCTTTACCCCCGAGTTCGACGACGTAATTATAATAGAAATTAGTAAGTAGCCTATGTGTTGTTAAGCCATTTTGAAGATACGTACAAACATCCATCCATCCAAACTTTTAAAATATTACAAACTGAATACTTTGAATAAGCTATAAACCGCCCTTTATTTATAAAACTAGCAATGTAAAAAACAATAATTCGCCTGAAGGTAGCGCACCGCGGCTACGAACATACGTCGCGCGAACAATGGGGTAATATGTTGCTGTACCTTATATTTTAAGATGGGCTCTTTTACAGCAACGTTGTTTGCGTTTATTCGCTTGACGGCGCGGTGCTCGGTGCTCGGACGGCGAGCGAACGGTGACACAGCGCTAAAAATAGAGCTCCAAGTCAGGGCCAGACGATGTACGCGGCCGGACCTGTCCTGGCCGCCCCGCGCAAGTCCCCACTATCCCGGACCGCCATCTTGTTGGTCCACAGAGCACAGCGGACAACATCTAGATGGCAAGGACACAGCGCTCACCATTGTTGGCAAGGGCTACTCACGATTGATAAAAGTCTAAAAACTCTATCGCCAACCAAATTAGGTGTGTTTTGAGGATCGTATAAATAGTGCATATTTTACCTTTTTATTTGCGAGTAAAATTCCTTTCAAATTGCGTAATAAAAAAGTAGTAACCGGTTTACTCTGCATCTCGGTGCAATAAAATTACTGCAACTCTTATAATCACTGATGATGCGCGTCTTACTTGTTCCTTCAGAGTTACTTGAGTAGCGCTCCAAGACCCTGATATAATCAAAATATTTTTTGTGGTCATATAGATGTGTAATTGAAAGAAAATACATTTTTATTCATTGTTTACTTTAATCTTTAATTGCATTGTCTTAAGTTATTTTTCCACATTTAAACATACATTTATTAAGAAGGTTAAATCGATTAATGTGTGATACGCAACATACTTTAGTCATTTATATATCAATAATAATTTGTAGACGGCATCTTTAAAGAAATAAATAGAATACCATAGCCATAGCAATCCTACATTATTCAACATTTCCGATAGAGAACAGATTGTATTAAGAATTTTAATGAGTATTGAAATAGATTCGCCAATAATTAATTAATCTTATTTTCTCCTCAAAGTTTAATTAAGTTAAAATTAAAAATTCTTTTTTTAATTTAATTTATTTTGAGGAGAAAATATCACTAAATTTAAAAACTATTTAATTTCGACTTATCCCTCCTGTAGCATTCGTTGTGCTATATTTGGCTCGTTCACGTACCGACACGTGTTGCCGGCTCAAAGGTCTGACATCGACTGACTTACCCTCTCTCCGGCATGTACTTATGGCGTGTACGCTCGAGACAAACAACACTACGTTTATGCATACACTACATCCCTTCCTTTTTTTAATATATTTAATCTTGCTAAGTATAGGTACTTGTATTCTAAAACTATCAATTAATAGAATACAAGTATACATAAAATTCGATTTTCTAAGTTTCTCTAC